TACTCGCTTCTGAGAAATTAAACGACGACAATTACGCAACTTGGAAATCAAACCTAAACACAATACTGGTAATTGATGATTTAAGGTTTGTTTTAACTGAGGAATGTACTCCAAACCCCAGCTCAAATGCAAACCGAACAGTTTGGGATGCATATGACAGATGGATAAAGGCAAATGACAAAGCCTGCGTGTACATTCTAGCCAACATATCTGATGTTTTAGCTAAGAAACACGATGTTATGGGTACTGCTAAAGAGATTATGGAATCTCTAAAAGGGATGTTTGGACAACCGTCCTTCTCCCTTCGACATGAAGCCATAAAATACATTTACAACTGTCGTATGAAAGAAGGGACCTCAGTTAGAGAACATGTCCTGGACATGATGGTCCATTTCAATGTAGCAGAATAAAATGAAGCTGTCATTGATGAGAAGAGTCAAGTCAGTTTTATCATGGAGTCTCTTCCGAAGAGCTTCTTCCAGTTCCGCACAAATGTGGTGATGAACAAAATAGAATATAACTTGACTGCTCTTCTCAATGAGCTACAAACTTATCAGTCCCTCTTAACGAACAAGGGACGTACAGGAGAAGCAAATGTTGCTATCTCTAAGAAATTACAACGAGGATCGTCCTCCAAAAATAAGTCTGAACCTTCAACTTCTAAAAGTGTTTTGATGAAGGAGGGTAAAGGGAAAAATAAGATTCCTACTAACCGCAAATACAAGGCTCAAAAGGCAGATAAAGGAAAATGTTTCCATTGCAACGAAAATGGTCACTGGAAGAGAAACAACAAGGTAAATATGATTTACTCGTTGTAGAAATATGTTTAGTAGAGTATGATAACTCAACTTGGATACTAGATTCAGGGGCCACTAATCATATTTGTTCTTTTTACCAGGAAACTAGATCCTGGAGAATGCTTGCAGACGGCGAGATAACACTCAGGGTTGGAACAGGAGTGGTTGTCTCAGCAAGATCAGTAGGAAATTTAAAGTTGTTTTATGGAGATAGATTCATTATATTAGATAATGTACTTTTTGTTCCAAGAATGAAAAGAAATCTAATATCTATCTCTTGTTTATTAGAACAATTGTATAAAGTATCTTTTGAAATCAATGAAATGTTCATTTGCAAAAGAGGTAGTCATATTTGTTCTGCAAAACTAGAAAACAACTTATATATGTCAAAACCGAGCAAAACAAAAGCTATTTTAAATACCGAGATGTTTAAAACAGTTGAAACTCAAAATAAACGAAAAAAGATTTCTCCTAATACCTACCTTTGGCATTTAAGACTAGGCCACATTAATCTCAATAGGATTGAGAGATTGGTTAAAAGAGGACTTCTAAATAAGTTAGAAGACAACTCTTTACCTCCATGTGAGTCTTGTCTTGAGGGAAATGACTAAACGATCATTTTTCGAAAAAGGTTATAGAGCCAAAGAAACCTTAGAACTCGTGCATACAAATCTTTGTGGTCCAATGAATGTCAAAGCACATAGGAGGATATGAATATTTCATCAGTTTTATTGATGATTATTCAAGGTATGCTATGTACCCAACCTGACATATGCTATGCTATGGGAATTGTCAGCAGATATCAGTCCAATCCAGGACGTGCTCATTTGACTGCCGTTAAGAATATCCTCAAGTATCTTAGGAGAACGAGGGACTATATGCTAATGTATAGTGCTAAGGATTTGATCCTTACAGGGTACACTAACTCAGATTTTTAGACTGATGTAGATTCGAGGAAATCAACATCAGGATCTGTCTTCTCTAAACGAAGGAGCAATAATATGGAGAAGCATAAAGCAAGGTTGCATTGCTGATTCCACCAAAGAGGCTGAGTATGTTGCTGCTTGTGAAGCAGCGAAAGAATCTTTATGGCTTAGAAAGTTCTTAACTGATTTGGAAGTCATTCCAAATATGATTCTTCCCGTCACTCTTTATTGTGATAACAGTGGAGCAGTTGCAAATTCGAAAGAACCAAGAAGCCATAAGCGAGGAAAACATATTGAGCGCAAATATCATCTCATAACGGAGATTGTGCAATGAGGAGATGTGATCGTCACACAGATAGTTTCGAAGCACAACATTGTTGATCCATTTACAAAGCCTCTCACGGCTAAAGTGTTTGAAGGGCACCTAGTGAGTCTAGGACTACGAGTTATGTAATCTAGGGCAAGTGGGAGAAAATACATGAGTATGTGATGCCCTAGTTTATTGTATTTATGTCTCTCTCTACTCAACGTTATAAAACCCCACTGGAGTTTTAGTCCAAGTGCGAGTTTGTTGGGTTTTATGTCCTAAAACTCATAGTTTGTAAACAAAGACATATTCTATTTTCAATAAAGTTATTACTGATGTTTATTCAGTAAAGATTGTTATTGAATAAAGTGAACTTTACGATCATTAATCGAAATCCAATAAACTAAGAACACTCTGGCTATAGTATGAATACTTGAACTATATGTCGAGACATAAAAGTGGATAAGTTCAAGTATATAGTCAAAATGATCTACAGTATAAGGATAAAGCTGAGTACCTTATTCTGGGGACATTATGGACGTGGCCCACTTTTGTATAAGATATAAAGAATGTGACCATTAAATTGTACATGTGGAGACATGTGAGTGGGGGCGTCCTATGCAATGAGTATTGCATAAGATCGGACCATGAAGAAAATAACTCTCTCTTTATAATGTCATTTACTGTTGAGACTAATTTTCTTTTCATTCGATGACCTAAGTAACTCGATCTTATTCCTGAGCTAACCATGAACTCCTGTTCATTCGGAATTATCCTTAGATTTGCATGGGTGAGAGTGGCTCGAGTTCGCCGACTCAATAGGCCTCCCATTTCAAGGGTAAGACTGGGTGAATAGCTGGGGACGTGAGGTGCAAGATGGAATTCGCTCCTACCCACTGACTCCAGGTCTTGAACAAGGGGCCCCACCCACTCATTGGCTTGAGAGGGATTTGGTTTACTGATTGGACCACAAACCAATTGTTCATAAGAGGTTCAGTGGGACATAAGGAACAAGAAGTAACTTCAGGGTAAAACGGCTAATTGACCCAACTCTAGTTATGAACAACCTTGAAGGATCGACTTACTAATGAAGGTTATATCAAATGGACAGAAATATATCTATAGTGAGGGGAGTGCAACTACTAGGCTATAGTGGAGTGTCCTAGTAGTTAACGAATGTTGGTTAACAAGGTTAATGAGTTTAATAGTTAATCTTGGATCGTTGGAGCCCATGATCTATAGGTTCATTAGGTCTCTCTGCTAGCTCATATCAGACTAAACCATAGAATAGTGTGACGAGTGAGTTCGAAGTGTTCGAATTCAAATTAGGGAATATGCACTACTATATACGATATATGTAACTGCATTTTTGTTTTATTTATGAATTAAACAAAAAGTGAAAATTTGAGATATTTAAATAAGATTTAAATATCTTAATCAATTATGTGTCGGAATTGATTGAGATTTGCATTTGAATTAATATTAAATATTAATTAAATATTTTAATTAATCATTTAATTTTACTTTAATTTGAAATTAATTATTCAAATTAATTGTTGAATTAAAACGAAGAAAGTCAAAATGTTGACTTCATTTAAAGGAAAAATCCATGTTAGTGGAATTTTGAGGTGTCAAAATTTGGTGAATTCAAACATGCATGCTTGCCACATAATCCCAAGCATTTGAGTTGAATTTTGTGTGTCAAAATTTGGTGATCTCAAATTTGCATGAACATGAAAACATGACTCTTTAAACCGGTTCGTGAGGAAAAAAGAATTTGAACTACAAAATGTTAGTATTCAAATTCATTAAGTTTTAATACTTATGAACATGCTAGTTATTTACTATAATTGATGTTCTAAAAGTGCCAAAGATCAAAATTGCTTCCGCATGTGTTATATTAGCACCATCAGTGGGCACTACACTCAGATAGTGTGAAGGAGCTCGGTGCGGCTTGGTTTGTCTAGAGTGCCCTGCAATGCTAAATCTCAGTTTGTTGTTTGCAATTATGATCCTTCTAGTAACTATATTGGGGAAAAGCCTTATGGTTCTTCTTTGTAAACAGCTTTGGTTCGAGAATTTTTTGAATTGTAACGAAGTCAACGGGAATAAATGCCCGCTGCGGAGATGCGAAAAACCAGTCACAATGTTTCTGCATCGAAATCGGGAGACCCATGATGGCAATTAGCTCTGCTGCATAAGTCAATAGTAATTAAAATATACTATTACCGGAGAGGTAGAAGGTTTTATTTCATCCATGACTATATGTTTTAAGTTACGGTTACTTTTAGAAAAAGGAAAAAGAAATACAAAAATTCATAACTCAATTAGTAGTAAATATTTTTAATCTAAAATTCTTTTTATATAATAAACCGAATCGAAAGAGGTTATAAAAATTTTAGGTTAAATTAGTTCATTTCATTTACTCAAAATTTTAATAAAATATTAACATTATTTATTTATTTTTGAACCTTTAATTAACCAATTCAATTTTAATACATATTTTAAAAACTTGGAGAAGAATAAATAAATAAAATTATGAAACTAAATAAAACAATAAATCGCGTGGATTAAGTTTCATTAATCCAAAAAAAATTTCATAAACTAGCTAAATCTAGAAAATTTTCATTTATTTGAACCTAATCCAAACAAACATCAAGCCGGTAATTAAACATGGAAGCGAGAATGAATTTATTCTCTTTGAATTCCCTAGCATGACATAATTAGTTCATAATTCATTGTTTTCCCCATCACATTCCAGATTAAGTTTTCCATCTCTATATAAATCATTCTCTCATTCTCAATCTTCATCTCATCTCTCATCGGAATTATGTTGACCAAACCCTTCCAATCAAGGCTGCTTTCATGGCTACTTTCATTTTCCTCCTCACTCTAACCAACGTTCAAAACGCCCCTGGTGACTAACTCGCGCTTCACAACCGAGCTCGAGCCGAGGTCGGCGTCGGGCCCATGCAATGGAGCAACACCGTGGCAGCGTACGCTCAAGCCTATGCGGAAAAAACAAAGGGTGACTGCGCCATGATTTACTCAACCGGGCCGTACGGGGAAAACATAGCCGCGGGCTACTACCCTGAGTTCACCGGGGCGGATGCAGTGAAGCTGTGGGCGAACGAGAAGCCGCTGTATGATCATGCGTCGAATAAATGTGTGGGTGGTGAATGTGGGCACTTCACTAAGATGGCGTGGCGGAGCTCGGTGCGGCTTGGATGTGCTAGAGTGCCCTGCAAGCCTAATTCTCAGTTTGTTGTTTGGAATTATGATCTTCCAGGCAACTATATTGGGGAAAAGCCTTATGATTCTTGGGTGGTATGAAGAGATTTGGTTTTAAAATTTTATGAACATTAATAAAGTTTGTGAGAGAATCATGAATTTATTTATTGAAATAAAACTACGATATTGTCTACAATAGTATTATATTGTCTAGAGCATAAACTCTTGTGACTTTGTTTTGACTTCCTTACTTATAAACTCATGATCATAGAGTCTCCCTTCTCATTAAGTACACCACATAGAGCCACCTTTGAAGCCTATAGATTACCTATGATCATAGAGACTCCCCTCGAACAAAATACACCATAGAGGCTCCCCTTAAGCCTGTGGATTTCTAAAAGAACTCCCTTTAATCGAGATTCGACTTCTTTCTTCGTAGACCTTAAACAAAATAAGAAATTTGTCGACACTTTTAACTACGATTTTTAGGCTTACAACTTTTTTGTTCGACATAGCTAAGTTAAGTTCATAGTTTGATACCATGTTACTAATCACGAATCTCTACAATGTTATATGATATTTGTCCACTTTGAACATAATATCATGGGTTTGCTTCGAGCTCCCACAAGAAGTCATGTTAATGAAAATGTATTCTTTAGTTATAAATCAATGATCATTTCCGAATAGTCTTCAAAACTGAGAGCATCAGCCACCAGCCAATTGTTGTTCCAAGTCACTGGAAGAAATGCCCTCGGCGGAGATGCGGAAAACCAGTCAAGGTATTTTCAGCCTCCAAATCAAGAGACCCACGACGACGGCGATTAACTCCGTTGCAGTATGATACCCACACCAAAGACGAAGACCAACTGCCACAACCTACCGGCGTTTGCCGGCTCTGAATATGGAGACCAACAGGGCCGGAGTGATGGAAGGACACCCGATGCTCAAAAGGCGACCATTTTTTTTCTTACTTTGCTTATTGGCCACTGCATTCGTCTTTTTCTCGGCTTCGTGGGAAAAAAAATAATAATAATAAATAATCGAAATGGTAAAATCAAAGAAATGCCTGTTTTTTTGAATTGCTGAAATGCCCTTTTATCGAAATACTGAACTACTGAAATTTGATGGGTACTATGATCATTGGGCAATGCTCATGGAAAACTTCTTTAGTACTGGGTTTGGTGGAGAATGGGATTCCTGCACCAATAGGACACATCGTTTTAACAGATACCCAGAAGAAGCACATTGAAGATCATAAATTGAAAGATTTAAAAGCAAGGAATTATCTATTTCAAGCATTAGAACGTTCGATCTTTGAGACAACCCTCAACTAGGATACAGAAACTCAAGTCATCATACCTGATGATGGCGTTGAGGATCCATTAACCTATAAACAGGCAATGAATGATGAAGATACAGATTAGTGGATCAAAGCCATGAATCTTGAAATGGAGTCAATGTACTTCAATTAAGTCTGGGACTTTGTAGATCAACCAGATGGAGTAAAACCTATTGGCTGCAAATGGATCTATAAGAGGAAACGAAACCAAACCAGTAAGGTACAAACCATTAAAGCTCGTCTTGTTGCAAAGGGTTATACCCAAAGAGAGGAGGTGGACTATGAAGAAACCTTCTCTCCTGTTGCTATGCTAAAATCGATTAGAATACTATTTTCTATTGACACATTTTATGATTATGAAATTTGGCAAATGAATGTTAAGACAGCCTTTCTAAACGGAAATCTTGAACAGAGTATCTATATGGCTCAACCAGATGGGTTCATTGAACAGGACCATAAGCATAGGGTTTGCAAGCTTAAAAGATCCATTTATGGGTTGAAGCAAGCATCTCGATCCTGGAATATAAAGTTTGATACCGCGATCAAATCTTATGGCTTTAAACATAATGTTGACGAACCTTGTGTTTATAAAAGGATTGTCAACTAGCTTTCCTAGTGTTGTACGTTGACGATATTCTACTCATTGGGAAAGATGTGGGATTTCTGACTGACATTAAGCATTGGCTAGCGACACAATTCCAAATGAAAGATTTGGGAGAGGCTCAGTTTGTTCTTGGAATCCAAATTGTTCGGAATCGTAAGAACAAAACACTAGCATTGTCTCAGGCATCGTATATCGACAAAATGTTGATTCGATATAAGATGTAGAACTCCAAGAAAGGATTATTACCTTTCAGGCATGGAGTTCATTTGTTGAAGGAACAAAGTCCGAAGACACCTTAAGAAATTGAGAATATGAGACACATTCCCTATGCATCAGCAGTAGGTAGTCTGATGTATGTCATGCTATGTACCCGACCTGACATATGCTATGCTGTGGGAATTGTCAGCAGATATCAGTCCAATCCGGGACGTACTCATTGGACTGCCGTTAAGAATATCCTCAAATATCTTAGGAGAACAAGGGACTATATGCTAATGTACGGTCCTAAGGATCTGATCCTTACAGGATACACTGACTCAGATTTTCAGACCGATGTAGATTCGAGGAAATTGACATCAGGATCAGTCTTCACTCTAAACGAAGGAGCAATAATATGGAGAAGCATAAAGCAAGGTTGCACTGCTGATTCCACCAAGGAGGCTGAGTATGTTGCTGCTTGTGAAGCAGCGAAAGAATTTGTATGGCTTAGAAAGTTCTTAACTGATTGGGAAGTCGTTCCAAATATACATCTTCCCGTCACTCTTTATTGTGATAACAGTGGAGCAGTTTGCAAATTCGAAAAAACCAAGAAACCATAAGCGAGCAAAACATATTGAGCGCAAATATCATCTCATAAGGGAGATTGTGCAACTAGGAGATGTGATCGTCACACAGATAGGTTCGGAGCACAACGTTGCTGATCCATTTACAAAGCCTCTCACGGCTAAAGTGTTTGAAGCGAACCTAGTGAGTCTAGGACTACGAGTTATGTAATCAGGGCAAGTGGGAGAAAAGGCATGAGTATGTGATGCCCTAGTTTATTGTATTTGTGTCTCTCTCTACTCAACGTTATAAAACCCCACTGGAGTTTTAGTCCAAGTGGGAGTTTGTTGGGTTTTATGTCCTAAAACTCATAGTTTGTAAACAAAGACATATTCTATTTTCAATAAAGTTATTACTGATGTTTATTCAGTAAAGATTGTTATTGAATAAAGTGAACATTACGATCATTAATCTAAATCGAATAAACTAAGAACACTTTGGCTACAGTATGATTACTTGAACTATATGTAGAGACATAAAAGTGGATCAAGTTCAAGTATATAGTCAAAATGATCTATAGTATAAGGATAAGGCTGAGTACCTTATTCTGGGCACACTATGGATGCGGCCCACTTTTGAATATGATATAAACAATGTGATCACTAAATTGTACATGTGGAGACATGTGAGTGGAGGCGTCCTATGCAATGAGTATTGCATAAGATCGGACCATGAAGAAAATTACTCTCTCTTTATAATGTCGTTTACTGTTGAGAATGATTTTTTTTTTCATTCGATGACCTAGGTAACTCGATCTTATTCCTGAGCTAACCATGAACAACTGTTCATTCGGAATTATCCTTAGATTTGCATGGGTGAGAGTTGCTCGAGTTCGCCGACTCAATAGGCCTCCCATTTCAGGGGTAAGACTGGGTGAATAGCTGGGGATGTGGGGTGCAAGGTGGAATTTGCTTCTACCCACTTGTAGGGATAGAAGAAAGGTAGTTCCCTTAAGTATTGACTGCAGGTCTTGAACAAGGGTCCCCACCCACTCATTGGAGAGGGATTTGGTTTACTGATTGAACCACAAACCAATTGTTCATAAGAGAATCAGTGGGACATAAGGAATAAGAAGTAACTTCAGGGGTAAGACGGCTAATTGACCCAACTCTAGTTACGAACAACCTTTGAAGGATCGACTTACTAATCATGGTTATATCAAATGGACATAAATATATCTATAATGAGGGGAGTGCAACTACTAGGCTATAGTGGAGTGTCCTAGTAGTTAACGAATGTTGGTTAACAATGTTAACGAGTTTAACCAGTTAATCTTGGATCATTGGAGCCCATGATCTATAGGTCTATTAGGTTCCTCTGCTAGCTCACATTAGACTAAACCATAGAACAGTGTGACGAGTGAGTTCGAAGTGTTCGAATTCAAATTAGGGAATATGCGCTACATATATACGATATATTTAACTGCATTTTTGTTTTATTTACGTATTAAACAAAAAGAGAGAATTTGAGATATTTAAATAAAATTTAAATATCTTAATCAATTATGTGTCGGAATTGATTGAGATTGGCATTTGAATTAATATTAAATATTAATTAAATAGTTTAATTAATCATTTATGTTGGTTTAATTTGAAATTAATTATTCAATTTAATTGTTGAATTTAAATGAAGAAAGTCAAAATGTTGACTTCATTTAATGGAAAAATCCATGTTAGTGGAATTTTGAGGTGTCAAAATTTGGTTTAACCAAACTTGTATGCTTGCCAAATAAACCACACAAGTTTGAGTGGAATTTTGAGTATCAAAATTTTGTTAACTCAAACATGCATGCTTGCTACATAATTCCAAACATTTGAGTGAAATTTTGAGTGTTAAAATTTGGTGATCTCAAATTTGCTTGAACATGCAAACATGACTCTTTAAATAGAGTGATCATGGTACATGAAAGGGCTCCTTCCTTAAAAAATACCTTGAGAAACTTCTCACAAGCTCTCTCTTTCATATATACTAAATCCCTCCTAAGTTTAGTCCCTCACATGATTCCACAATCCCGTTCTAAGGCTGGAGGATAGTGGAGAAGACACAAGTGGTGGTTCGAAAAAGGGTCGGAGGAAAAAAGAATTTGAACTACAAAAGGTTAGTATTCAAATTCATTAAGTTTTAATATTTATGAACATGCTAGTTATTTACTATAATTGATATTCTAAAAGTGCCTAAGATCAAAATTGCTTCCGCATGTGTTATATTAACACCATCAATTGGTATTAGAGCCAAGTTTAGGCACTTTATTTACATTAATTTGATCATGGTGGGTACCATTTCATGAATGAAATTTTGTGGTTGATAAAGTGGATGGTTTTGGTTTTGGCATTTTTTTTTTATGCTTCCATTTGATACAATTATTGTAATAAGCCTAATGTGTATGGGCTTTAATGGATGAAGAAAGGTCGGTAATTTTCATGGAGTCATTAGAGTCCATTTTAGGTTGTAATTGATCGAAAATGGAAGAGATAGCAAGCTGAACCGAAGAAGAAGATGGAAGAGGCAGTTCGGGTGTTTTTTCTTGCCTTTAGAGTCCGGTTCAACGGTTTCAAGGGTTAGTTCGCCCAGTTCGTGATCCTCGGGAGCAGTTCAAGTTATTGTTAATTATTAATGTAATAATTTAGTTAATTGCTTGCTTTAAAATGCCAAAACCAACCCACTTTAGTGTGTTTAATTAATTATGCATTATGAATGTATGTTTTAATTAAATAGATAATGTATATGCATAGAATTTGTCATATAGATTTAAAATCCCACCATAGGCTAAGCATGTTTCATGCATTCCAAGTATGTTATAAGTGTTATAATGTATAGTATGATATTTAGGGTTCCATGAGTGATAGATATAAATTGTTATATTATTGCATGGAATGGATGATTATATAATTGTTATATAAAGTATGTTAGATGCATGTTATAGGTTATTTTCAACGTCATAAAACGAGATAGACATTAAATTCTATAATGAAAATAAGTGCATGCTCGCTTAAGGTTAAGAACCAAGCACAATCAATCTTAATAGTTAAAATAGGTCGATGTCTTGTAAAATTTTGCTTA